GCTGGCCTGGGCTCCGGCCCACGTGGTCCAAGGAGGCTGTTCTGTTGCCGTGGAAACGCTAGCTGTGCAACCAGCGGGCTTTACTGAACTGGAAGGTTTCCCTGCGTTTTCCTGCGAAGGCGCTTCACCCTTGGAGTCTCCGCAATCAAGACGCGCAGGCGGCGAGGAGGGCTGCATTCAGGGGGCTCCCCTAGGATGCGCTCACCGGGACCCACCTGCCCGCCAGGAGTCCTCGAAGATGGGCCCAGTGGTTCCTGAGGCCAGGCACGTGGCGGGCAGGTACCTGTTATCGGTGTTACAGGCTGAGACTAAGCCGAGTGGCCAGTCAAGTCCATGTGCGATTCCAGGAGCCTGGGGAGCTGGAATACCTGCTGTCAGCCCTGCGGCTCGGAGCCGCCCCGCCCCCTCTGCCAGCACATCCCGCCCAGCCTGGCTCCTTAGGGTCCCGCCCATGCAAGTCTGAGAACCGCTTCTTTACCACCTTGGACTTTGGCTTCAGAGAGCAGAGCCACTTAGGCGAGTTTAGTGAATCGCATTTCCAGACCAATTAACAGAATAGCCACGAACAGCCGCCTATTGGGTGGTGCATGCCCCTGTGGCCCGTCACAGAAGGTCTGGTCTGGAAGTGGGCGGTTCGGTCCGATGACCCGCCTAGGGCTGTCAGGAGGGCCATCTTTCCATCTTCCATTCCGCCTTCTTCTCCCCGTGGATTCCCCCCAGGCCTGGGCCTCTTGCCCCAGAAGGGCCCCCCACACACAAGGAACCCGCCTACTTAGAGCAGGAAGGAGGGGACACACTGGGACAGGATCCTTTCCCCAGAATTCTTCTCTCTTGGAAAAAGGAGGAAGCCACTTCCTGGGAAACCTAGAGCCTTCCTCTCCCTGCCTGGGCCCAGCGGGTCCCAGGGGGAACCCTTCCTGGGAAAGTGACTACTGGGGGGTGGGGGTGGAGAACATGACTGTTGAGTAGCAACTACACACAGGACATCCAAATGACCGTAAAAAACCACCCTGCTCATGGTGGTCCTACTTTTTGTGCTCCGTAATCTTGCTATGTATTTATTTAAAAGTTGGAGTTACCTCCAAGTAAACCTTAAATGTTGTTACAGCTTCGAACACCGTGCCTGACATGTATGACACACTCAATACACATGGTCGAATGAATGAATGCTGTTTAAAACTATCCAAGGATGCCATACCTCTGGCCGCTTGGAAAGGGTAAGTCCGTATTATAACCATCGGCTGGGCACGGCGCAGAACAGGAAGCTCACCAGACGCAGTAGCCATGGCACTTCAGATTGTTTATTGAGCGCTGGCCGCAGGACGGAGCAAGGGGAAGGCCCAGGCGTGACCGCCATCGCCCAGCCTGGCCTGGGAGAGAGCTCGCGAGCCCTCCCCGCCACGGCCAACTCCAAGAGCACGAAGCACTATGATCGTTTAATTCACAAAACCGCAGCCAAACAATGAATGAAAGCTACATCCCGGGGACTGACTTTTCACGCAGCAAATAATCTCTCTTCGCCGATGAGAGACTCGGGAGACTAAGCGCAGGCGTCTGGTAGCATCGGAGAGAGAAGTGCGGAGCCGGCGGGCTCGCTTCCACGGAGCCGGGTGATGTTTATCGTCCTCTCCCTCCAGTTTTCAGATACACGTCTGTTCAGCTTGGATCTCTACAGGGGAAAATAGCATGAACATATGGCTACATTAAAAAACATGGAAGAATCGAAGAATGTTGTACGCGTCCCTCTGAACACAGGGAAGGGTGTGTGTAAGGGAGTGTGGCCTGGGAGGGAGGCGGTCTGACGGCCGACCTGGCTCCTATGTGGCACATTGTATCGAGGTCAGAAGACCCTGCCCCACTCCCCACCCCCTGGGAAACAGCACCGCGCCCCTCCCTCCCTCTCAGAACCATGGCCTGGGCTTGACGTGGTGGCCTCAGCAACGCTCAGGTGCAGCCCAGGTGTTAAGATCTCCCTCCCTCTAGGCCAGCGGTTCTCAACCTTCCTAACGCCGCGACCCTTTAATACAGCTCCTCATGTGGTGGTGACCCCCAATGTCATTGTTACAAATTGAACATAAAGCATAGTGATGAATCACAAAAACAATATGGAATTATAGATGTGTTTTCCAATGATCTTAGGCGACCCCTGTGAAAGGGTCATTCGACCCCCAAAGGGGTTGCGACCCACAGGTGGAGAACCGCTGCTCTAGGCCATCAGCCCTGTGACTTACTAATACACGCAGCATCCAATACAACCTATTCTTATATGCACTTTGGGTAATTGTAAGGGCAGTGTTCATTAAAATGCATTTCATTTTCAAAATTGTGCTATCAATTGTTAGTGTATATACATTTTTGGGGACACCCTATGTATGATACTCTATGTAGTATATCTGATATACAGTATTATGATACTATATATAATATAGCATAGCATAGTATGATACTACATGGTATTGTATAGTAAACTATAGTACAGTAGAATATGTCTGTTAAGTGTGTATACATTTTGGGGGGAGACCCTACGTATGATACTCTATGTAGTATATATGATATACACTGTTATGATACTATATATAATACAGCATAGCATAGTATGATACTACATGGTATTGTATAGTAAACTATAGTACAGTAGAATATGTCTGTTAAAGTGTGTATACATTTTTTGGGACTCCCCATGTATGATACTCTACTATATATGACATACAGTATTATGATACTATATATAATATAGTATGATACTACATGAGCTGTTAAAGTGAGTATACATTTTGGGGGGACACCCTATGTCATGATACTAAGTCGCCCCAATGAACGGGGAGAAATCTGCAGGGTTATAGCCAGACGCCATGGACAGTTTTCACGCCTGGACTTAAAGTTAGTCTGAGTCTCTAAATAACCATCGTAGCACGTGGTGCCCCCCGGCTCTCCAGACAGGACAGGAGGGGTGCTGCCCCCACTTTCCCAGCGCACTCACCACTACTCCTGCCCGGCCCCCAGCAGGGCCGTGGCCAGCGCCTGGATGTGGGCCCAGGCCTGCTGCACGTGCGCGGACTCCGCAGTGCGGGAGCAGATGGCGAAGCGCAGCACGAACTTGTCCCTCAGGTGGCAGGGGACCAGGTGGATCTCCTTGGCGCCGTTGATTCTGTCCAGAAGGTCTTCGTTCAGCTTGTTGGGGCCCTGGGGGACCAAGGTGGGGGGGGCGCCTCAGTGAAGGGAGCCACCGACCACTCGCCTTCATTGACAAGACAGTCAGCCTGGGAACAGTTCCAGGGCCTGAGGACGCGCTGTCGAGAGCTGCCCTTCCCAGGGCCAGGGTTTGTTTTACGAAAGTGCCCGAGCCAGCCGGCCACTGAGCTCGACCAGGAACCAGGAGATCGTGGCTGGATTCCCAGTCAGGGCACATGCCGGGCTGTGGGCTCCATCCCCAGTGCAGGAGGCAGCCCATCATGCTCTCTCATCATTGGTGTTCCTCTCTCTCTCTCTGCCTTGCTCTCTCTGAAGTCAATAAAAATATCTTTTTTTTTAAAAAAAGAGAACAGCCCTAACCGGTGTGGCTCAGTGGATAGAGCGTCGGCCTGCGGACTGAAGGGTCCCAGCTTCGATTCCAGTCAAGGGCATGTACCTGGGTTGCGGGCACATCCCCAGTGGGAGGTGTACAGGAGGCAGCTGATCGATGTTTCTCTCTCATTGATGTTTCTAACTCTCTATCCCTCTCCCTTCCTCTGCAAAAAATCAATAAAATATATTTTAAAAAGTAAAATAAAAAAAGAGAAGAAAGACTGAAACGGACGTGCACTTACCTTCAGCCGGAAGCAGACCAGCCCCAGGGTGACTTCCGCGCAGATTTCAAAGCGAGGGTCCCGCTGCACCGCAGCCTCGAACTCGCGGGCCAGCTGCACGTGCTGGGGGCAGAGGGGGCCTGTCTGAGCTCAGCCCCGAACACCTCGCGGGGCTGCGTGGCGGGAAGCCCCTGTGCGCGTGTAGCCGTTTTCTTCAGTGTTTCTGTCACTCACACACACACACACCCGCTGTTCCCGCACAGACGGAGGACG